ATTCAGCTGAAATGGCTTTCCAGAGAAGCCTCTCTGACCACCCTTCCCCCTGGTTCTCCTTCCCTCTGTAAGCCATACCCTAAGGCCTTCATAGTTTTAATAATTCATTTATTTACTTGCTTACTGTTATTAACTCACTCACTTGTTTATTTACTTCGATATCTTCTGGGCCCCCTGATTAAAATGTGAGTTCTTTTGAGACAGAGTTTTATCTGTGTTATTCACCTGTGTATTCTTGGCACTCAACCAATGTCTAACACATATTAGATGTTCCAGATATTTTTGTTGAATGAAGAATGATAAGGCTCTGTACTTGCTCCAGAGAAATCTGCTCAACTTTGCCTACACTCAACAACCTCAGGATATCCTTTATCTACAGTCTTTGCACTCCTCTCTCTTATCTATTTTTCCTGCTACAGATAAAATACTGTGCAGTCCCCTTTTGTCCGCCTTCCCCTCCCCATGCAATAGTGCCATCACATCCTTTGTTCTCTAAATTGTTGGAGTCTTAAAATCCCTTCTCTCCCAATTACCAACTAAGTGATACTAAGTAAAATGATTTTTAACAGCTTTGTGCCTCTGTTTTCTCATCTGAAAATAGGTGAAGTTAGAGGAACAAAATAATTGAAGCTTCTATCAGAAGTTGGATAATTTGTGTAAAACCATGAAAGAACCTCAACATTAATAAATGTGAAATAGTCATAATTATTCTTATTCCCACACATTGAGTGCTTAATCAAAAGTATACCTTTTTTTAAATTTTGAGTCTGTTTCTGTTTCCTCTGTCTGTGCATGCAGTGTCTACCATAGTATCATGCTTACTAATTAGACAGTTCAACTAGTAGTTATCTGATTGCACTTAATAAAGGAAAAAGAGATAATGACAAAAGGTGCCTAAATAGATGAAGTATTTTATTAACTCAAATATATCTATCTTGTGTTTTTGGAATTCCAATGAAGAAAGTTCAATGCTTAAAATTAGGTACTTTTGCCAATAAATTCAACTTATATTTCTATTTATTCTCAGATGCTGTCTACTTTCAAGTAACAGGCTTCAAATGTGTCACAATCTTGGTCATCACTATTGGCTAGAAAGCAACTGAAATACTGTTTTCTGTTTGATTTTTGCCTAAATAGTAATTCATGAGTCCATTGGACTATTGCCCAGACAACAGAAAAACAAAATAAAGCAAACTGGTACTAATTTCTATCTTATAGGAATATAAGTAAATGGGCAGGTGGAATTAATAAACATGAGGTGAAATGAAACAAATTCCACTGGCATACATTTATTGCACTTAACAAGGAGTGTGCTGTTGGCTTACCCTCTCCTATAGAATTCCAACAAGTTAAATGTCTCCAACTGGCAAGTTATCAGTGTTGATGTAATGCTGCCTGTCCCTGGACAGCTGAGCTCAGCAGCTCTAGTTCCATTTTCTTTTCCAAAGGATAGCTAAAGAAACATTCTTTGGATCAGTGTAATATGTTTGCTACATTTCAAGAAATTTTGTTCACATTTTCCTCTATAGCTCTGTTTATTGTTCCATGATTTCTGTAGATTTGATTTATTTGGGGCTAGGTTCCAAATATAGTAAAAAGAGCAATGTTCAAACTAGCCCAGGGTAATCTAAAGGAGGTTTGTAGATTTGATGTTCTAGAAAAGAAATTTTCACCTCATGTGTTGTACAGAGTTTAGTCTACCATTCAGGCATTACTTGATTGACTGATTGATATTCTATATGGGAGGGTTCCCCCTGCTTCTATTTCTTCTTGTTGACTTATAAATAGATAATGTATTTGACTGATATGTAGGGTAGTTCTTTGACAAGTCCTTTTCACAAAAATACTGAGACTTTATATACATAACTCTGTAACGTTATTCTCCTAACAACATATCATGGTCATCCCACCAGGTCAATAGTTAAAATCTAACTCATTGTTTTTAATATCAGCAAACTACTTTATATTTGGATATGTTACATTTTCCAATCTACTGATAGATAATTGGTTGCTATTAGATTAATTTTCCTCTAACAAGATGGAAATTATTATTTTTGTATATATATTTACATATAGATACTTTTGGTTCCACTGGGTAAATAACAAAATATAAAACCAATAAATAAAAAGATACATATCTATATTAATGTAGATCTCTATATAGATCTATATTGACATTTTCCTGTATAAATAAGTAGTTACTGCCATCTATTTACTATATAAATGAGTAGGTACTGCCATATATTTACTAACTTTTCTTTTTTTTTTAAAATATATTTTATTGATTTTTTACAGAGAGGAAGAGAGAGAGAGATAGAGAGCCAGAAACGTCGATGAGAGAGAAACATCGACCAGCTGCCTCTTGCACACCCCCTACCGGGGATGTGCCCGCAACCAATGTACATGCCCTTGACCGGAATCGAACCTGGGACCTTTCAGTCCGCAGACCGACGCTCTACCACTGAGCCAAACCGGCTTTGGCTACTAACTTTTCTTAACACTAAGAAAAAACAAAAAGTCATGCCTTGCCTTAACTAGAAAACGTCAGCCTAGGAATGAAGGATGTCCCAAGTCATCTTTTTAATTATTACTATATTACATCAGGGATAATTTTCTATATATTTTATCATTCCATCTTCTGATTTCTTTTATCAGATTTATGACAGAATACCATGAGTGCTTTGCTCACAAAAATTACCATATTTGCAGATTCAATTATAACATCAATAGAATAGGGCATTCCAAATCACATTTCAATTTAGATAATTTACAAAAACTCATTTGTCCCTAAAATGTTATAATAAGTCAAATCTATCATTTTTTCTTATTTTTAAATATTAATCTAGATAATAAGCCAGCAAAATTTTTGTAAATTACATCATGAGCCTATTCTAAAATAAAGGTAAGAGTTTTCTTTCTACTTTTTGGCTCTGAACCAATGGTTTATTGGCCAATCCCTCAAATAAAGATATACAGACAGAAAAGGTGTCCAATTAACACCAGATGCTTTTAATAAAAAGGGGGGAGGAAAAGAGAGAAACCGTAGAATCTAGAAAAGACCATTCCTTTTTTAGTCATTAGTCATCAACATGCTATTTAATTTAATTCATAACAATCTATGAGATAAGTATTTATAGTTGAGAAAACTGAGGCATAGAGAGGTCAAGTAACTTGCTCAATGCCTCACAGAAAGTAAGTAGGAAAGCCCAGATTTCACCCCATTATCTGTCTGAATATGTCCTCAGACCCTTATTTGACATTAACCATCACCTAGTTTTGCTCAACTTGTTTCTCCTCTCTTGGTTGTAAGTTACATGTTAGTCTGAATCAGCCATCAGTGATAATATAGACATAAAGGTCCATTAGCTATAGTATTTCTATTCAACTGGAGGGAAATTTTGATTTAATGTGAGCTAAGGATTCTGGTTTACTCTTGGAGAGGGAGGAGGTATATTTCAGAGCCCACTGAACTGATCCCTCTTCTGAGGTTGACATTTCTTCCAGAAGCTCTAATGCTTGGTGGTAGAACATTTTTTAGATTGCAGACTTCATCTTCCTATTATTGAAGGTATTTTCTACTTTAGCATTTTAAAGTTACTCAGGAAAAACTAAATCCATTTCACATGATCTGGTGGATACACACTTTTCTCCCTTTCTGTTTCTTTACCATTGATAATCTAATACCATTTTTTTCCTTGAGATATTCCAAAAGGCACACTGGAAAGTACCTTAACTAACCCCTTCTTATAAGCTGTTCATAGGGTGAGGGGACAGGGAGGGTGGAGGGGGAGCAGGCAACAACTTTCCAATCCTTATTGTATTAAATTAAGATCCTACTCAAATAATTTTTCATTGGTAATTTTAGAAATTTAAGCAAGATTGATTTAGATCATTTTAAGAGACAACACATTCACCCTCGGCAGTGTCACAAAATACAGTCTTTTGTAGTTTGATAGGTAAAACTGTAGAGAAGAGTTTTGTTTTGTTTTGTTTTTTTCCTCCCTCAATATGGTGGCTAACTATAATTGCATGCTGTGTGTAATTCTTGAATTGGCTAATACTATTTTTTTTCTTTCTCATAGAATTGGGTAGTTATAAAAAGTATTGACATATATGAAAACACAGCCTCACTGTATTTAAAAATTAACACAGGAAGAGGCCGATCTTGGAGAAGTTTTAGGATGAAAATCTGGGAATGGAGGGATAAAGGTGGAGGTTCTTTGTAAATGGCAAGAGAATCCTTTTCTCATTTTTTCTATTGTATTCAAGTCTTTGGGGGAGGAAAGAAAGCATCATGCTGAGCCTGTAATTCTTGACACTGAGGTTAAATCCAGAACCACCCCCTGCTGGTCCCTCCACCAGCGTGGCAACCCATCTTGGACCAGATGAGCTGACCATTAGCCAAGCTCTAAAGTGACCAAACCCAGACACCTGAAGTTGGTGCCACGTAGGGCTCCAGGGGCTGGAAGGAAGGAAGCGGCTGAAAGCACAGACTGTTGTGCTGTCAGGGTCTTCTCGCCCTTCATCGCTGCCCTGTGCACACAAGCCCTTGCCAAAGTCCCTGATGGCATTCCCATACTTGCATGTATGCAGAGTAACCGGTGTGCACAGGCACACACATCCCAAATTCAGAAAGAAGGTCACATGACACCCCTTTGCCCTCAAATCCCCCATTTGGAGCACTTTCTGCAGAACAAGCAAGCGCTTTCTTTCTCTCCCCCCCCCCCCCCCCCCCATTTCAAAAGTTGCCAAAGCTGGGACTGAGTGAAGCCTGGCTGTGATTGGAGTCTTCCCAGTGATGCCCTGGGACCCTGAGGTGCCCAAGGGACACGCGCGCATCTTGCGCTCCTTCCAAGCTCCCAGCGTGAACAAAGAGGGGTCTAAATCCCACTAAAAAGTCCTGGGCTTCTGGAGGAAAGCTCTCGGGCAGCCTGCGAGTACCATGGGGGATAGTGCCCCTGAGACTCCGCACCCTCCCATCCCCTCCGGGGTGCTCTCACCATTTGTAGCCTCTGCCGCGCTTGATCTTGAGGGTGAGCGCAGTCTCCAGAAAGAGCAGGAGGTTGAGTAGCGCCAGCAGCCAGTACCTGGGCTCCTTCTTCACCACGGCCACCCGCCAGACCCCAATGAGCGAGTGCAGGAAGAACAGCAGCCGGGTGACCAGGGCGTTGAGCAGGACCAGTCCCTCCATGCCGGCGCGCTCTGCCCTCTCCGCACCGCAGACCCCGGCCAGGACCACCCAACCCCCGCCCGAGAGCAGGAACGTGACAGCTCCAGACCCGCTGCCACTGTGGTCCCTCCTCAACCTCCCGCCGCTGCTGGCTTTCAACAGGAGAGAGCGCCTCGCCCCTCCCCCAAACTTCCTGAGAACTCTTCAAAGAGGGGCGCCTCTCAGCCCAGCTTCTCCAGGCTGCTGGGCTTTCCCGGGAGTCTGGGGCTCGCAGTCCCGGTTCCTGGGCGTTATTCTCCAGCACTGCCCACCCCCTTCCCATTCCGGGGAGCTAGTCTCCATCCCTGCCCTCTATGAACCCCGGCCTCCTTGGAGTCCCTAAGAACTTCCTTACTGCAAGGGATCGGAAGGAGGAGAGGTGGACAGGGCGCCCCAGAAAGGGGGAGGAGGACGCATCTGGGTCATCTATCTCCCCCTTGCTTGCCTCGGAAGGGCTTGAATTCATTCACTCACACTTCTTACAGGAGCAGGCTGTCATGGTGGTGACTCTCCGCTGGAGCGGAGGAGGGCCAGCGAATCTGCTGCCCCAGCAGTTTTAGAAATACGGTTTCTGCCCAGTAAGGAGAGCTACAACTTCCAGGGACTGGAGGAAATCAGACACCCCGGGCTTTCTGAGAACGCCTTGAACCTCATCCGTGGGTGACGGGGTCACTTCTACTCTTTGGACACAGTGCTACTGAAGAAAAGAAACAGTCGTTATTGTGTCATCTGCCACTCTCATCCTCCACCCCCACCACTTTTTCTCTGAGGGCATGTTGTAGAGAAAAGAGGGCAGAAGGGAGATTGAGGAAGGAGATAGAAGACGGATGAGGAAACTGAGTTTACAACATTATAAGCTAGGAGTTCGAATAGAAGGAGGAATTCATGGAGCAGGGAACGAACTGAACCTTGAGGTCTGTGAGCAATAAATTAAACTACGGTCTTTCCAGCATCCAGGGCAAAGTGGAAACTGAAGTCAGGATTTCCCCAAATACCTTAGTGATTCCCTGTTTGGTCTCCTACCACCTGTACCACTATTTACTTAACATTTTCCTTTAAACAAACTCGGGTTTTTACTGAAGTCATTTTAAAAGGAAACTTTATACCACCTGTAAATGGAAAATCAATAGAGCAGGCTATGGATGGAAGGTAATTACAGAAGTAAAAAAAATGGAACGAAGTCGCTGAGACCTCCCTGGGCATTAATTATCGGTCTCCGGGGCTCTGTGCTTCAGGGTCCCACTTTTGGGGAGATAACTACTCATATTACTACCAAGCCAGAACGCTTTTTTGACCACATTAGTAAAACTAGAAGAAAAATGCAAAGGAAAACCTTTCTTGGTTAGGTTTATTCAACTTAAAACCCTACCATAACTTTCTTAAAAGTTAGGTTGAAAACTCTGAATTAGATGATTAATATCTTCTTCGGTAAAATAAATAGGTAAGTAACCCAGCCGCTTGAAGTGCATTTGTTTCTGGTACTGTGCATAGGGAGGAACTTTTCTTTTTCCTGTGGGTCTGCATTCTCTCTTATCTTACAGGAAACCCAGCAGAGATGTCCTGGGGCTGCTGGTTGTAGTGCCCTTCAATGTAGGCTGATAGCACAGGAGACGGCCCGTCCAGCAGGAGGCAGCACAGCATGGACGTGGGAGCCATAGCACCAGGCCAACTTGCTGCCTTAGACTCCTGGCTCAGCCACTTATATTGTTGTAACCTCAGTTTCCTCATCTATAAATGGGGCAGTAAGTCTATGGACTCATAGGCCCATTGTGGGGATCATATAAGTTAATCCATATAAATCACGTGGTAGGTAATCAGTGTTTAGTAAATGTTGGTGATTATTGCCTGGACCAAGAAAGCTAATCTAAGAGAGCTGCCCTTTGATGACCTGAGACAATAATCGGAGTGGAGCTGAGATAGGAGGCATCCTTAAGGCCTGTCAAAACCCTCCAGCTGGGCACCACCAGGAGCACATCTGTTGCTGAGCAAGGTGGTTTATTACTCTTTCAGAGAAGACGATGCTCCATGGAGAACCAGGGGTCATCTCAGAAAAAGGTGTGAGAAAGCTCAGCAAGGACTGATTAGAAAGGGTTTGGGCTGGTGTTAGGTGATTTGGGGGAGGGCTTGCCAAAGCGGGGCTGATTTCAGGAAGTGGGTTTAATTCTGTGATTTGGGGTCTTTATAAAGCTTTTTAGATAGAGGAATATTTGTTCATGCTCATGGTTTAGACAATATTCAGTTTTGGTCTGTATTTAGATATAATTGCAGAGTGGTCCCTTTTTGTCTTGACCCATCACACTCACAAAGTGGCCTTCTATGTTGCTGTTCGGTGAAATTTTGGGGTTCACCAGGAGAATAACAATGCCTGGTTGAAGGTACCAGACCAGTTGCCTGCTATCAGGGGTAGCTTTTCTCTTTCTCAGCCTCCTAGGAGTGCTCTCTGGGAGAAGGGTTAGTCTGAAGTCTTCCACACAGCTTTGCTGTTCCATGTTTTGAAGGTTTAGATTCAGTCTAGGCTCTGTTGTCTCTGGATCAGAAAAACAAAGCCTTTATAAAGAGCATATTAAGGTCATTTATTTTATTCTTTTTTCTTAACCCCGTTTTAAGAAGACTGAAATCTCTGAGAAATATCTTGGAACCTCCAACCCAATAGCCCAAGAATTTTATAGAATGAAAATAAATTAAGCCATTTTTAAAAATATACTCTTTTTAAATTTTTTTAAAAAAAGAGTATATTAAAAAAAATAACATTTTTTAAAGCAATCTCAGCTTCATGCACCAAGTTCCTGTGATATTGGCTGGGATTGCACTGAAGTGGAACCAACTCATCCCATTGTCTGAGGGGACAGCAATCACCAGGCCCCTTTTCCTTTCTGAATGCAAAGTGAGCACAGTTTTCAAGATTATCTTTAATTAGAGTGATTTTGGTTGTACAAAAAAGTCCTTCTCAAGCTAGCTCAAGTAAAAGAAGTAATTATTGAAACTGGACACATAATCCAACAAGGGAGTTGGAATCCTGCAGAAATCAAGCACATGTTGGTCTCAAAAGCCACGGCCTCTTAGTAAAGTTCCTTCTTACCTTAGCTCCATTTTGATCCTATTCAGACATCACTCTTATATATACAGATGTACTTACCGATATATATGTATAAAAGCCTAATATGTTAATTGTCCCTCTAATCGTTTGACCATTTGACCAGTCACTATGATGTGCATTGACCAGCATGGGGCAGATGCTCCAACCAGTAGGTTAGCTTGCTGCTAGGGTCTGGCCTATTGGGACTGGGCAAAACAGGCTGGACACACCCTGGATCCCTCCCACAATCCCTCCCCAGCCTTAATCGTGCACCAGTGGGGTCCCTCAGCCTGGCCTGCACTCTCTTGCAATCCAGGACCCCTCAGGGGATGTCAGAGAGCCAGTTTTGGCCCAATCCCCACAGGCGAGGCCAAGGGACCCCACCGTTGCACAGGCCTCTAATATATATGTGTGTGTGTGTGTGTGTGTGTGTGTGTGTGTGTGTGTGTGTAGTTATATAATATAATTCATGGGGGAAAGTCATACACTACAGGAAAATACATTGTATTTCCCAGAATAATTATTCACAATGAACACCTTCCATTATTAATTTTTCTGGTAGTTACAATTATATCTTTTTTTAAAAAAAAATCTATGTTTCTTCCATTCTTGATTTACCAACTTACAAAAATGTTGAATTCTCAATTTGAAAGTTGGAGTTTCCAATATTTCTACAATGCCTTCTTTCCTTTTCACTCCATCTCTACTACCCAATTTTTATTAATAAAAACATTTTGTTCTCTAGCTGTAATTAAATCTACTGTCTTGTCAATTGGTTAATCCTAACAATTGAAAGTCAACAAACAATAAAATATGTAATTATCATTCAATGCATTTTTCAGATATAATGTATATTTCCTCTAACCTAGAAACCAGTATTACTGATAAGAAGTCTGATACTCATCCCATTGTCTTTTCTTTTTAGATAAATATTTTTCAATGTTTGGAATTTTAAGATTTTTGGTTTTTTTTAATGTTTATTATTTCAATATTTCTAGATATTGAGCTTTTTTTTTTTACATGCTTTACTAAGTGCGGTAGTCATGTGTCTTTATTTAGTGAGTTAAACCTGTTATTTCTTTGATAATTTCTTCTTTATTGTTTTTGTTTGTTTTTGCTGAAATGCTTATATTTTCTGTCTTTTTTTTTTATTTTTCAGAGATGAAGGGAGAGGGAGAGAGAGATAAAAACATCAATGATGAGAGAGAATCATTGATTGCTACCTCCTGCACACCCCCTACTGGGGATCAAGCCTGCAACCCAGGCATGTGCCCCTGACTGCAATGGATCCTGGGAACCTTCAGTCCCCAGGCCAACACCCTATCCACTGAGCCAAACCAGCTAGGGCTCTCTCTTGGTCTTTTTGATCTATATTCTGGTAGAGCTTCTTAATTTTATTTCCCAGATGTCCAACTGACCCTTCAGATGATTTCATTTTATTGTTCAACTCTATCAATGGTTGTTTTAGTCAATATATTTTGCAACAAACCATTCGTATTATTGAACTCTGTTGTTGTTTTTTTCCCACAATATCTTGTTTATTTTTGATGTATGCAATATCTTTTTAAATTATATAGAAAGTAGAGACCCAGTTCATGAAATTCCCTGGCAGCTGCTGTTTGCCAGTTGGGGCCTCCCTTCCCTAGCTGCCAGCTGCTGACCACGGCCTTCCTTTGTTCTATGCCACTGGCTGGTGGTCAGTGCACGTCATAGCAAGCGATTGATTGAAGTACCGGTCGAACTCCTGAGGGGACACTTTGCATATTAGGCTTTTATAGAGAGAGATATTACTTATAACTATTTATTATTATTATTTTTTTATTGATTTTGTACAGAGAGGAAGAGAGGGATAGAGAGTTAGAAACATCAATGAGAGAGAGCCATTGATCAGCTGCCTCTTGCACAC